TATTTTTTTTTCTTTAAAATTTCTTTATAATCGTTATACAAGATCCTGCGATTTTATTGGTTAATCATATAACCGGTAAATTTCACCACCGGTGAGCGTTAAAATCGTCCTTTATATTAAATTTTTTAAAAAAAATATTAGTATAGAAAGATTTTACTATAGTATTATTATATCTAGATATCAGTATAACCAGAGTGACATGTATACAACTAATCAGATTTTCTATATATAATTTTAATTTTTTTGATTTCTTCTTTTTCTTAGAAAATTATATAATTTTTAATAGTTTTTATAGCTAATAATACTAGTAGTGCTAGTTTCTAATTATCAGTTTAACTAGATATTAATCAGAAAAGTATTTAATAAAAAAAAAGATATATTCTGATATCTTTATAATAAAGCCTTATCTTTAGACTACTAACTCTTATTTATGCTAAAATTTTAGAGTCTTTATTTAAATCTATAATGTTTACTAAAACCCATATATACTTTTTTATTAACAACTCTATTTCTAAACCCTAACCCTAATCTTAAAAAAAAAGGCTATAAAAAAGCCCTAAAATTTTTTAAAATTTCATAATAAAATAAATAAAAATTTTAGCATCATCTGTTATCCGCGACAGTATATATAACAGATAACCATACTTATTGATTTGATCACCCTAATTGATCATGGTTGTACAAAGCCAAATTTGGTAGTGAACACATAGACGTACCCGCGAAGTGCTTTATTTAAAGAACTCATTTTTATAATATCCGATGTATTCAAAACCCATTCGCGTTGCTATTGGATCTAAATTGGATCAATCTTCGCATCGTTCTCCCAAAACTATAGTAACAATACCGAGTAAATCTCTACACGCGCAATCGGCCGGCACAGAAGAACGGCAAAGGCAACAGGCAAATGATGGAACAAGAAAAAAACACATTTTTTGGGGCAAATTACCAGACGACGAGGAGCCAGAAGCGCCGATTGAAGAGCAGTTTATTTTGAGGCTGTTGTTGCCTGAAGATGTAAAACAGCGTTTTAGAGAGAAAGTGAGAAAACAAAAGTTTGCGGAAGATGTTGAAATCATGTTTAAGGGTAAATTAACAGATAAATATTATTATATAACACAAGACAGACATTCATAAAATTACTACGGATTTAAATAGACTCTCGTCGTGCAATTTTCACGTTTGAAAATCAAAAATATAGCGCACGACTAGTGGATTTGCCCTGTATCATTGAGGCACAAAAGACCTTCAACAATAAACAATTTTATAAAGTTGCGGATATTTGCCAGGTAATTAAATTTCTCACATCATTTTTTATATAATTGATATAATTTATGTATTTATTATTTTTTTAAAAAAAAACTTTTTGGAACATGGATAAGATGTTAATAGTGGAATCACCGATTGATACTCAAGAAGAGGAATATTTTTTTACAGAAAATACGGCATCGTCAAGTATTGATCAATTTGAATGGCCAGATGGGTTAACGCCACCATTGAAAGATGTTAGAAACAGGAGATTTAGGAAACGTATTTCTAATAAGGTAAGCAGATTTTAACATTTTTAATGATTATATTTTTACATATTAATAAATAATTTTGAAGAAAATTGAAGACATCGAAAAAGAGGTTGAAAAATTATTGCATGATGATTCATTGGCAGAAGAGGTTAAAATTGGTAATGTTGGTTTCTACAGAAATCATAATTCATCATTATTGCAATTTTTCGCAAATTTTGAGCAGTAATTGGGTTTAACTGGCAAGAAACAATGTATGGCAATTTTATAAAGATTGGGAAGATGCAGTCGATTCGGAGACTGCGACACCAGCAGCACTTGCAGAATCACTTCCAGAAGAAGCAGAAGAATTTGAAGGAGACGTATTAGAAGATGACGACTATGAAGCTGAAGAATTTGAAGAGTTTCAAGAGGATGTAGATATAGATGCATTGCAAGAGTATGAGCAAGTTTTGGCAGAAGGACAAAGCAATATGCTCGACGAATCAGACAATGATGAGCAAACACAGAACGATGATATTACAGAAGAGTTCAGAATTGGATTAGATCAATTATCGGATGACGATGAAAGTCAAGAGAGTAATGCTGAAGATGGTGAAGAATCTGATGCAAGTGAAACAGATTCAGAAGAAGACCGTAAGTAAATTTGTAAATTTCTATAGAAATATCATATATATAGCTAGATAGAGTTTTAATAATTGAATATTTATGTAGAAGAAGAGTTGGGCAAACTTTTTACGAAACAAAGAGAATTAACAACAGAATTAACAAAATTGGAGGCCAACCTAAATAAGAAAATTTCAGATTTGAGGGGAGAGATTAACGCCGTTATGCAGGTTTGATCTTTTTAATATATTTTATTATTTAATTCACTATTCTTAAATTGTTATGACCAATATATTTTGATCATAAATGAAATTAGGGACGAATCCAAAACCAGGTTAATGCACTATTAACAGAAATAGAGCAGAAAAAAACCTTATTGGCAGAAGCAGCACAAAGGGTGACAGATATCAAAGAAAAGATGGAATCAAAAGTCGAAGCATTACTTGCCAATGCTTCTAATTCCGAAATATCTTAGCTCATTTTTAACTTAGTAAAAAATCTCTCTCTCTTTGATTTTAACGAAATATAAATAAATATCTATTTTCAGCATATTGATATGGTCGGATTTAGTGATTTTGGTGATGTTTCGAGTGTGATCTTCAAAATTTATATCAAATCAGATTAGTAAAATTTGTGATTATTGCGATTTTGTCTTACATTGGTTGCTTTATTTAATATAATCGTCAAACTGTATTTACTTAATGCCTGTAAGGGAACGGTTGCTCGATGCTCTATTACTAGGGATGTTCAAAGTTCGGTTCGGTTCGACTCGACTCCATGAGTCGAGTCTTAATTTAGACTCGGTTCCGAGTCAGACTTGGAACCG